ATGTGTGAATTTTAGGCACTAACTTGTCTATTGGTGTGAATGTGTGTTTTACTGCCTATGGCTGAAATGTTTTGTTGGCATTTTTTATGGCTCAGTTTGGGGCTTTCTGGTTCAAGACTTATGTGTTGATATGGTTTACTGAAGGCTAAGATTTGGTACCACAATTAAAACTTGTTCTGCCCCAATTCAGGGCTGGTTATGGGTTTTTATTTGCCTGAGATTTTGGGCCATTATTGCCCATGTGTGGCTCTTGTCTGTAGTCCAGGTCTAAGCCATCCCAGGGCCGTCATTCTATGCTGTATATGGGCCGAGGGAAACTGGTTATGTGGCCCTGAGCAGGGCCAGACAACAATTGCTATGTTTGTAGCAAATTAAGCTTTGTAAGCTCTTTGCGGCCCATGGCTTTAGCAATAAAATGCGACCAAGAAGATGCTAAGAAAATCCTACAGAAACCACATATTTTTATTCAGGGTTAATTAGCATTATGATAACCGAATGATTGTCATTATTTTTCAGTAAGAGTTAAAATGTGATTGGTTTATTCCAAACAGAGCACCATGCCCCACTACAAAAGAGTTTGCACACTTATGCAACCAGGTTTGTTTTTGTGTTACATAAATTCGGCTGGTTTCAGTATTACATTAAAGGTGAAAAAAGATATTGCATGTTTTTACATAGATTTATTTTTTACATCTCAAAAAGCTGGACTTTTAAAATGAGTGTGTAGATTTGTATACCCACTGTATATAGCCTACATATATATGTTTTACATCACGGTGCAAGAAAGAGGAGAAAGTGGTCAAATAAACTAAGTTATTCATGTCCTTAGTTAGATGTCCCTTCCATCTAACGCCTGGCTTTAAGCCTTCACTCCCTCTGTTGAGTCTAAGAAAGCTCCCAGATCTGTGCTCTAGTCACACACAGACACACATTTCTCAGAAGCTTCTGTCCTTTCTTAAGTGTGCTGCTGATTGCTACTGTATGCAGCATGCCTGAGGCTCTTTGCCCCTGAGGAGATGCATCACATGTCAAAAACCTCCGCTGCTTCAGCCCCTCCAGCACTGTACCTAATGGCTTAAGCCCGTTTCACACATGATCAGTTTGCTGTGCATATATGTGGTATGCATTTTTTTCAGTGCCCATGTTAACAGGTTAGAGCATTCACACTGCACACGGATGCGGTCCGGTAATGCAATGCAGGATCAGTGCAGATGCAGCAGTACAGCGATCATTTCTGCAACAAGTCTATTTTTGCTGTGCTGCTTATACAGAATTAAAGTCATAGAGCATTGTTCATGGTCAAAATGAACATAGATTTATACAAAAATGTAGTAGTTTCTCCATAAATGCATATAGTCTGTTTCACAGTTGACTTTCTGCCTGGGGTGAAGCAAGGAAAATTCACCTTACTTCACATTTAGAAAAACAAGATGACATAATGAATGGCACACATCTCTTTGTGGAGGTGGAATAACAAAGTTCTGTTTGGCACGCAGGATTTATTTAAAAAGATTTAAATGCAAAAAAAAAAAAGCGTTTTAACACTTATGTACTGTTGCGGGTCAATTTGATTTGAAATTTGGATCAGTTGTCGGAAATACAGTTAACCTGTTTTTTTTTTTCTTGAAATGTTGTGACTTTTTCTCATTTAGGGTCATGAATATGCATGCAAAATTTCAACACACTGATGTGTTTTGAGATACACAAAATTACTATTACGTATTTGAAAATCATGCTTTCCCCATTATTGTTGAATCACAGAAGCTACACCAGTTACTTTTGCCAAGAGATTTCTATTTATTATGTATCATGTGTCAGACAGAGAGAAACAGGCATATAAGAATAAGGCTATAGGCGAGGAGGTCTTCATTCCAGATTTCTCTGTTCCCCATTTCTCTATCCTCCACCCCATCATGCCAGTTGTAAATGGTTTCTCTGGGTTTCTCCTCCCTCACCCTCTCATGTCTTTATTTCTCCTTCCTCTCATCCCGTCATGCCTTTATGTTTATCTGAGGTGGTACAGTAGGATTGGGCTTAAATACACAACTGAGCGACTTTCAACTTTCTTGTAGGGTAGAAAAACATGTTGTTTGAGCTTTAAAAATGGAACGTATACCTTTACACATGGTACAATCCACTATCCTCATTAAGAAACTATTCTCTGTATACATTTGCATCAGTTGACACATTCATTTCCTTGTAAAGAACATACCAACAGTACACATTTGAAGTAGGCCTATCATCATCAGTGGAACATCTCTCTCAGTGAACGTGGTATTGCACACACACCTCTAAGCAAAATATTACTCATCCCAGATCTCTCATCAGCACACATGTAAAACATTCTCTGACCTCACAAAATACATTATGAAAATTATTATGAAAATGAATACAGAAAAATAATACAAAAAAATAACATTAAACAATAAAATCATATTTTAATGTTCAAAGGCAACTGTACAGACCCAAAATAATAAAATTTCTTGGTTATATTTTGTTGTTTTAATTTTTACTACCCTATGAAGCTAAAAAAGGAGCTTGTTTAGCTTTTTTTGGCTTCAAAAAGAGTTCTCCCCAAATATTGTGCAAATATCACATCCATGTCACCATATGTTCTGTTAGTTTCATTATCATGGACTTTTAGTTTGTTTTCCTTCTCATCATGTGTTCCTTTGTTCAGTTTTCGGTTTTGTGTTCGGTTTCGGTTCCTTTGTTCAAAAAAGGTTTTGTGTTCTTGTTTTCAACTGTGTTCTATTAATTATCCTCATTTGTGTTTGCTATATAAGTTGATCCCTCACATTCATTCTCTGTTCGATCTACGTTACATTTATAGTGTGTTGCCTTGCTTGTCTGTTTATTCTTTGTATTATGGTCATTAAACTTTGTGTTGGAATTATACTTCGTCTGCCTTCCTGCAACAGCTCGTGACACTACGGACATCACTTTTGGCCACTTCTGTATGTAAATATGTTTGGAATAGAGACAAAAGAATATTGATGGGGTAAATTGCATTGTCTCACATAACAAAAGGGAGCATATCCTCAGAATATAAGCATATATTTTGCAATCAACTTGTATTGGGTCATAGGCTATAGATGTCGAGCTGCAGCCATTTTATTTAGAATAATTTTGGGCTTGTGCTTCAAATGTGTGGATATGTGTCAGCTCCAGACATGCACTAAATCTTATTTGATGCAGCATTTTTATCACAGAATGAAGAAAAAATAAGACTCATCCACCAAAGAAAAAAAGACTCCTGGTTTTAGCTATTCACCTCGGTGTGAATAGCTACATAGGAATATATTGTTTCTATTCTACTTTGCCAAATTATTTGTTTAGTGTTGAAATACTGCAGCTCAACATATGAACTTCCTGCTCAGCCAATGGTGGGACTTTATGGTGGGACTATGTGCACTCAAAAAAATGATATGTTGGCTTTACTTAACTTTTTTATGTAAACAGGTTCCACCGGTTCCACATAACTATGTTTAGTTAAACAAACATAATATGTTCATGTAACTTCAACATCATGGAATTTGGTCATTTTAAGCGACCCAATTAAACTCTGAGCTAATGAGTTAATTCAGTGAATAATTGAGTGATGATTGAGTATTATTGAAGACACCTGATATTAACAAGCAGAATTTCTGAAGGAGAAAACCGGAATGTTTAAGTCACCATTATGGAGATAAGTATTTGTTTTAGTTGGGCTCTTGACCATTAACTTATTAACTTTAGATTTTGTTTGGTTGCTGTACATGAGTTGTAACAGCCAGATGAACAATGAACTGAGGAGATCTGATGGTGTTGGTTGTGATTTAACATAATCATTATTTCACAATCATTTGACCTCAATCACTGAACTTATATTGAACCCAATTTCTGAGTTAAGTTTACCTTACTGTCATTGTAGAGCATACTATTTTTAGGCTTTTCAATGAAATTCAAATGATCAAATCAAGAAATAAAAAATAAACTTCTTAAAAAATATCCTGAGTAGGCACACACAGACATAAAGAATCAGCATATGAATCTCAGCAATGGTGACAAACAGATCATAAGCTCATTATTTATTCATGCAGCAATGCATGATGGGAGCCATGAATGAGTTTTGATTGGTGGCACCCAGAATGCACTGCAACATGCTTTATAATTGTCACCATTGTTGAGATTCACAGGCTGATTCTTGATGTCTGTGTGTGCCTACTCAAAATATTTTTTAGGAAGTTTATTTATTATTTATTGATTTGATCATTTAAATTTCATTGAAAAGTCTAAAAATAGTATGCTCTACAATGACAGTGCTGCTATTATTCGTAAGGTAAACTTATCTCAGAAATTCGGATTAATATAAGTTCAGTGACTCAGGTCAAATGATTGTGAAATAACGATTATGTTAAAACACAACCAACACCATAAGATGACCTTTGTTTATTGTTCATCCGGCTGTTATAACCCATGTACAGCAACCAAACAAAATCTAAAGTTAATAAGTTAATGGTCAAGAGCCCAACTAAAACACACACTTATCTCCATAATGGTGACTTAAACATTCCGGTTTTCTCCTTCAGAGATTCTGCTTGTTAACATCAGGTGTCTTCAATAATGCTCAATCATCACTCAGTTATTCACTTAATTAACTCATTAGCTCAGAGTTTAATTGGGTCGCTTAAAATGACCAAATTCCATGATGTTGATGTTACATGAACATATTATGTTTGTTTAACTAAACATAGTTATGTGGAACCGGTGGAACCTGTTTACATAAAAAAGTTAAGTAAAGCCAACATATCATTTTTTTGAGTGTGTTTGCCCAAACAATTACAGATAAAGGAGTGTTTAAGAAATCTGCTTGGGTTATTATTTTTGTCATTGATTTGGTGGATTAAATATTCTCATACGCAGAGGCAGAAACAGTGTTAACTTGAAATGTGCATGCAATTATAAATATTTTTGAAATATGTGTAATTATACAAACATTTTTTTTTCTCTTATAACAGCAAGTGGTGTCAGCATTACGAGTAGGAGTGAACCCTTCAGGAAACTCGTCCAATCAGAGCAGTTTATGGGACCTCAGCAACTCCTTCTTCTTCGCTGGAACAGTTATTACAACTATAGGTACTAAAGTACACAAACTCGCATGCAAGCACATTAGCAAACACTATATTACTGTTCTTAAACTAGTGAGCCATCACACTGTCTACTAGCAGCATCTTAACCATTATTGAATCTCAATAGCAGGCTCCTGCAGAACTATCCTCAGAATTGGAATTCATCAAATTCACAAAGATCTGTACAATCCCTGCTACTTGTGTGTTTGTTTGTTGTAATATTACTATTTGTAGCTACTAATTTTAATTAATACTTATTTAATATCAATCTGGAACTGCTGATAAATGTCTGATTTAGAAGACTCTACATAGACAGCAACTCTCTCACAAAAGACTTGATGATTCTAATTAAATCAGACATTAACACGATACTAGTTGTCGACGTGCCGACGTAATTGTGATCGCCTTGAGAGACCAATCTACTTCGAGTGTATTAAAACGAGCGACCATGCGATAATTGCATCAGCTGTTTGTTGCATCATTGTCCGTAACCCACCGCCTTTCTTGGGTACAATGAGAAGCCTGTAACGTTGAACTTGACCGACTGAAAGGGAACTGGTAATGGGAAAGCTGTCATGCGGACCTGGGAGTGCGGCACTGAACCCGAGACTACCTGTAGGCAGGGGCGGACTGGCCATCTTTGTGATCTGGAGTATCACAGAACGGCCGGTACTCCAGGACGGCCGGCGGGCCGGCCCACCACCCGCCACACACGCAGTCATCACCTGTTTTTCCCCCCCACTAATCTGTTTCACACTCCAGTACTGTAGGTGGCAGCAATGCACCTTTAAGTTGGATGCCAGCGCGGAGCATTATCAGCCCGGCCCAAAAAAACTGCGATCGCGGCCGAAGCAGCTGTGCGGACTGATCTCGATCACACGAACATTATTACACAGAGTTGCGCGATCCACTGAGAAGCATTTCAATTCAGCGCAGAATTCTCTATCTCTATTATAAACCCACAGATGGCTGTGATTTAAGCTAGTTAAAAGCCAGATTAAACAGCGCTGATATTCTCAACATCTTGACGCAAAAAAAACAGGCGAAACATTGTTCCAAGAACAAACCAGTTAGAAGACATTTCACTCCACAACTTATGAATTAACTGTAACTTAGTAAAACAAACTTTTTTGGCAGAAATGTGCCTGTATTCATATTAAAAATGCTGTTATATTAATAGTCATGTAGGCCTATAAATGTAGGCTATTAAATGTAATGCAGTAATGTTTTTGTTTAGAAGTTATGGCAGTTTATTTATTTATTTTGCATTACATATTTATACTAAATGTTTATGCTACAATAGGTTTTTAGAGAATAATATATATATATACACTCACCGGCCACTTTATTAGGTACCCCATGCTAGTAACGGGTTGGACCCCCTTTTGCCTTCAGAACTGCCTCAATTCTTCGTGGCATAGATTCAACAAGGTGCTGGAAGCATTCCTCAGGGAGTTTGGTCCATATTGACATGATGGCATCACACAGTTGCCGCAGATTTGTCGGCTGCACATCCATGATGCGAATCTCCCGTTCCACCACATCCCACAGATGCTCTATTGGGTTGAGATCTGGTGACTGTGGAGGCCATTTTAGTACAGTGAACTCATTGTCATGTTCAAGAAACCAATTTGAAATGATTAGAGCTTTGTGACATGGTGGAAGTAGCCATCAGAGGATGGGTACATGGTGGCCATAAAGGGATGGACATGGTCAGAAACAATCCTCAGGTAGGCCGTGGCATTTAAACGATGCCCAATTGGCACTAAGGGGCCTAAAGTGTGCCAGGAAAACATCCCCCACACCATTACACCACCACCACCAGCCTGCACAGTGGTAACAAGGCATGATGGTTCCATGTTCTCATTCTGTTTACGCCAAATTCTGACTCTAACATCTGAATGTCTCAACAGAAATCGAGACTCATCAGACCAGGCAACATTTTTCCAGTCTTCAACTGTTCAATTTTGGTGAGCTCTTGCAAATTGTAGCCTCTTTTTCCTATTTGTAGTGGAGATGAGTGGTACCCGGTGGAGTCTTCTGCTGTTGTAGCCCATCCGCCTCAAGGTTGTGCGTGTTGTGGCTTCACAAATGCTTTGCTGCATACCTCGGTTGTAACGAGTGGTTATTTCAGTCACTGTTGCCCTTCTATCAGCTCGAACCAGTCTGGCCATTCTCCTCTGACCTCTGGCATCAACAAGGCATTTCCGCCCACAGAACTGCCGCTCACTGGATGTTTTTTCTTTTTCGGACCATTCTCTGTAAACCCTAGAGATGGTTGTGCGTGAAAATCCCAGTAGATTAGCAGTTTCTGAAATACTCAGACCAGCCCTTCTGGCACCAACAATCATGCCACGTTCAAAGTCACTCAAATCACCTTTCTTCCCCATACTGATGCTCGGTTTGAACTGCAGGAGATTGTCTTGACCATGTCTACATGCCTAAATGCATGTAGTTGCCGCCATGTGATTGGCTGCTTAGAAATTAAGTGTTAACGAGCAGTTGGACAGGTGTACCTAATAAAGTGGCCGGTGAGTGTATATATATATATATATATTACAAATTTTTCAGGAATTGTTGAACCAGAATATCAAGATATTTTATTATTTCGCATATGATGGTAAAAAGTAAAAAAGTTAAAGTTAAAAGTAAAGGTAAGGTAAAAAAACACCACCATGTTATATGTATAATAAATATATTTGAGTATAGCCCTTCTAGATTATTTTATCCCTTGAGGTAGCCCTCGCACACAAAAAGGTTGGAGACCCCTGGTATATAGTAACTATATGTTTTATAATTACAAGTTTGTGTAATTAGGGTTTCTTTAGCCAGTGACATTTCATTATTTGCATTTTATTTTCAATGCAGATGTAATGGCATTGTACATTTTTTTTGTTTTTATTTGAAGACTGAGGCTTCATTAATAAACAAAACCCCAATTGTCATCATTGTTTTTGAGATATTACTTGCTGTGAATACCTTGTCTGATATAGGTTACAGTATTGTGGCATAGTATCAGGACATCCTAGTGGCTAGGGGCGAATGGCTGGATGATGGGCCTATTTGGGAGAAAGTCCAGGGCTGTTTTTTAGCCCCAGTCCGTCCCTGCCTGTAGGAGATCAGTTGCAATGGAACTGTGCCGTGATTCGCGTGAATGTGAAAGCAACTTGAACTCGAGTCCACACTTGATCAGTAAGTAAAGTAATATGCGCATGTGTTTTAGCCAATGACGATGTCATTAGTTCAATAAAACACATGAAGAGGATGACAAAGGTGATGAATTACCTTGGATATGAGCAAGAGTGAGCGTACACAGTAATTGTGCAGAGTGAGTGCAATCAGAGCAGCATATGAATGGCTTGCAATCTACCTTCAAAAGTGTCTGTTTTCAAGCAGCAGAAAGCCACCTTGATGTGACACACATACAGTAGATTCAAGTGTTGTTCAGTCTGCTGCGCATAATTGCACCAACTTAAAGGTATAAGTTTCGCTGCTAGAGGTCGCTATTCAAAACAGTACCAAAGGCATGGCTTGATGATGCCGTGACTGAGCGTGGAATCACGGGAGGTGTCGTTTTCACCTCCACAGCCGATGGAAGGCAATCTGACTAAACTTGTGTTCATAGATGAACTAATGTATTAAAGTTTTATTTACGTTACTGTGGTATGAAGCAGGGCGGAGCAGAGAGTCTGGGACATTTTACATTACTGTTTTATTATACTTATATGCTGCTGTTTTATTGTTATATCCTTTTGTTTTATTGTTAATTCATATTTTACCATTTATTTTTTTAATTTAAGGTTTAACATTCGCCTCCTTACCTGAATTTAAAGGGTCCTATTATGCTTTTTCACCTTTTCAACTTTAGTTAGTGTGTAATGTTGCAGTTACAAACCTCAAAGTCCACTCCAAAGGGAGAAACAGAATCCACTTTCCAAGAACTAAAACAAAAGGCTTGTTTTGGGTAGTTCAGTGTTATGGCAGTCACTTCAACGTTGTGTCAATGTACTGACACTAGGGTTCCTATCGAAAACAGCACAACAAGCTAACCGTGTTATGAGGTTTTGGCAGTGCAGATGTCGGCAAGCTACTGCGTACCGGGCAGCAAGCCCGTACGCAGTTACATCGTAACTGTCACAGTCTATGGAACAGTCCTGGGTACAGATCAATCACCAGATGATTCGCGAAGTTTCTAGATCAAAGGAAGCACTGGTGAATGAAGCTGGGTGATTCAAGGGCGATCTCCACGTTGAAGCTGTTCAGGAGACACAGATAGGTTGTTAGCATGAGACTGACAATACTTTGCAAAAGGAGTCTTTCTAGAACCAGACAAAGATGGTTTGGAACCAGAGGGTCGTGGGTATCGTATAGACGAGACTGGACGCTGAGTGGAAAGTGACAGGGCTTTTTAAGCAGTGAGCGATAGAGGTGAGTGATGATGACATGCAGGTGGAACTGATCAGAACTCCGGAGATGATGAGCGAGACCAGGTGCACGTAGTTGAGTTTGGTTGGGATGTGTCATTGCTGATGGGATCCGTGACAGTAACCTTCCCAATGCCCCATGTAAGCCATGAAGTCCTTCGTGCCACACGGGGACAGAAAGGACAGAACTTACAATGGAAATAGGTCACTTCAGCTGTTTTTTTACCTTTTCTCTTTTTTTTTGGAAAACATACAGCTGCGCAGACCAGAAGTTAGCGCTAGGGAAGTGTACCTTTCTCTGAGCAGAAATAAGAACACCACGGAGGCCACATCCTGCCTGAATGGAGGTTAACATGTGGAGAGACTTACCTAGACTTACCAAGACTCAGATAGACTTACCAACCGGGAAGTACTAAACATGCAAAGTCTCTGTGGTAGGTCCTACATGAAAGGGAAGGAGCTCTACAACACAGTGACAGGAGGCAGAGTGGATATCTGCCTAGAGGAAGACACAAGTTTACCATCAGGGTAAGAGAGGACTGTTTCCACTCCACTTCAAATCATACGCCACCTCATAAGGGGG